GAATAGATGTGTACACAAGCACATATAGTTATTATTGCACACTGTATGGGAGAATGAGTTACATTATTTATAATTAGCCTTGAGCCATGAAGTTTATAAACAAGTCAGATTTCATTTACGAACAATCGATCGGAAGTGATAAGCTTAAGCTCGAGCGTGATATATAAAGCTCGTTGCTATTCCACCAATTCCATGTTGAAACAGAGAGTGAGGTGGGAGGTCTTGCGCTGACCACATCAGATTTTTTTATTAGCTTTTATTTAGTTCACTCACGGTTTTTGTGGATATGGTCAAACGTTATCATAAATTTTTTAATCAGTTTTTGAAATTTCAATATCCAAAAATGTATTTGCTATAAAGTTTTGTATAAAGTTTGCTGTAAAGTTTCGTAGATTATAAAATAAACTCTTAGCCTTCTTTTATAATACGAATGATAAATTTTTTAATCAGTTTTTGAAATTTCAATATCCAAAAATGTATTTGCTATAAAGTTTTGTATAAAGTTTGCTGTAAAGTTTCGTAGATTATAAAATAAACTCTTAGCCTTCTTTTATAATACGAATGATAAATTTTATTTATTGAGCGATTTTTTTACCCCCCCCCCTTTTTTTTTTTTTTTTTTTTTTTTTTTAATGCTGCAGGTTTTTAAGCAGAAAAGGAAATTGATCTGGGGTTCCTCTTCGGTGTCACGTGATTCGTTTGGAGTTCCCAAAATGTGATGTCATTATATCTCCCATTATTTATCATGCTTTTGTAGGCAGTAAACCCTTGCGGACGCGGATTTTCGGAACGCAGTTTTGCATATATGCGTCATCTTAATTGTTTCCATTTAATTTGTCCAGCCCTAGAATTTCCGTTATACTTCCGTTATACATCTTCCATGAACACTGAATACTTGTTGACAAAAACTCTAGCCGGAAGTTAAAGGCAGAAAGTTAAAGGAAATGAAGCCAAAGAAATCGTACGTATTATAAAAGCAAATTGCAGCGAAGGGTTTTTAGATATAGAAGTTAAAGAATTAATCGAGAAATGACGAATGAAGAAGTGGACGATCTTATAACACCAGCAGACACTGAAAGCAATGATAATGAAGTAGATAAAGTTGAATGAATTATTAAAAGAGACACAGAAACTGCTTAATTTTGCAATGGAGATGAAAGCAAATGAATGTTTGTGTATTCTTACTGGGGATTTTAAGGTGGTGTTCTCTGGTAAGTGGGCAGATGGTAAGATAATGGTCTGGGGTACTAACTTCTCCACAGACACAGAGATAGGTGTTGCTGACGCTTTGTGTATTAAAATATTCAGGAAGCGGACTATGTCCCGTAATAAATCTTGTTAACTGCGGGGAAACTGATACTGCGTTTGTCGTCTATTTGGTGACATGCAATATTCACATTCATCCCACTCTGTTTGCCATTTGATTTATGCCTTGCGTTTCAGTTGCTTCTTCAAGTATGAGCGTGGCCATAATGCTGGTTGAGGATAATGAAAACTTCCTGATGCTGCTTGCTAAGTGATGTACTGGATAAATGTGGAAATAGCTACTGTTTCTGCCTAAAACATGGAGTCATTATCATTTAGTCGCTGCTTCTAAACATGTTAGGCTTCGTCTCCATGCTGAATAATTAGTGCGCTGCCAGCTTTGTCTTCCATACGTGAGCCATCCCGTGTATATAGCCGGAGTGCTGTTGCTGGGGTGTTTATAAGGTTTACAATTAGCAGTGGCACATTATCAAAGGAGAAAAAATTTGATTAAATTATTATTCTTAGGGTACTTCTTTAAGACTGACATCCACGGATGGAGTTAGTCTAACCCTCGCGGGTACCTTGAAAACAGGTGCTCCCCTTTCGGCAAGGCGCAAAAGCACGAAAAATGCATGTCGTTATGAAGCTCAGTATCACGAGGAACGTAGTCATCGTCAAGGCTGCCTAGATACCCATGTGAGGGTCTTGCAGAAAGGTCACAAAATTGCATAAAGCTGTCGGCGCCTTTTCAGACTGACCATCGATCGCCAAGGCACAAAGGTGCACTGTCATAAAAGTAGAGATAAGCCAGCCATCTCGCAAAGTTCATTTATCGTGAAGAAGCAATCGTCCTCGATCGCGCATTCAGGTCTTTATTTTGTGGTACCGGCATCTTTTTAGCATTTTATAAAATCGTCCGTTGGCGGGAAATGAAAAATCTTTTCTTTTATGGAGTAAAGAATTAGATCCAACATTTATGAATTTGCGACGAGCTAACGACGGTGGGGTTAAGATGTTCAATATAATAGGATTACCAGTAGCTTATCTTTCGATATTTTAAGAGTATCATTAAATTTTTTTCTTCCCGTTTATTTACTTATTATCCGGGGGGGGAGTGTTTTTTCCTGTGCGTGAATTACAATTAATGTTATGATTAATGTTTCATTTATTTAAACCATCCGTATCAGGTCACAAAGCAGCATCATAGGCGCTAGTGCCTTGGAAAATTTTCCAAATTCCCGACACCCCCGTCTACTGCTGTCTTAGAGATACACAATTACATTATTATGGTTTAAAAAGCCCCTCCCAGCGAGAATCGTTATAGACATAGAAAAGACAGTTACATATTATCGAAACCGATTTCTAAGTGGCCGCGTTGATCATGTTCCGCAGATGAGTTGTCAATCTTATCAATATCGGTTTCATGTCATGTTCAACAGAGAATCTATCGATCCTATCAGTGTCGGATCTGTGTCATGTTCAGCAGAGAAGCTGTCCATCCTAGCAATGTCGAATTTGTGCCATGTCCAGCAGAAAAACTGTGGATTCTGTCATAAGATACATGCTACTAAGTGGGGCATTCCGAATGAGAAAGAAAAGCAAAGCATTGTAATTATGCAAGCGTAATGTATCTTAATCAATTATTAAATTTTTATGAGTATTGTTCTCATAATTATAAAAAGATAAGAATGTCGTCTTGTAAATTTTTGAAGTTTAATCTTGGTTATGAAATAGCTCATTACTTTATGGAAAAGAAATTCACAAAATATATAATTTTGAGAGAATGTAATGAATGACCTTTACAGAGGCTCCTTATCCAGTAAAATTTATCCTGGTATTTCAATCATCATATTTAAAAAAAAATTAGCTTACTTTCCGGTACTTGTGAAAAAGGAAAAAAATGTAAATTATATTATTATAGCAAAATCATCCGTCTGCTCTCAAAAAAAGAAAAAAACATTTTAATTGTTATTAAAATTAAACGGAATTTTATTAGGGAAAATGTTTGATATGTTTTTAATTAAATATTTCCCTAATAAAATATTCTTACTTAAATTAAAAGTATAAATCATAGAAAAAAATCCTAAAGCTTTTAGATTTTATATTACGTCCAAAGGGGCGTTTTTTCATTTGCATACACGTACACGTTTCGAGAGTGCTTGGGCTAATGTTCCTTTGGGCTAAAAATATTTAAAAACAGCTTATCTTTAGAATTTCCGATAGATAATATCGCGCGTTAGAGATAATTTTTTTTTTTTTTTCCCCGTACAATGTTGCCATTGCTCTCTTTTAAATCGTTGAATCTGTTAATCAAAAATTTGTTAAAGTTTTATAAAATTTGAAATACACAACAAAACAAATTCAAAATTCGGACTTTTAGGTGTCCATATTCAGGTGGAGGATTACGTTATTCAGAATTTGATGACTCTAGCTTACAGTTGTTTTTTCAAGATGAGAAAAACATGCATAGATTTTTCATTGTTTAGTTTCTTTAAATATAATACAAGGCGATAATATTGGTGGCAACAATTTGAAAAGTGATTCAGAATTTTACAGTGATTCAACGTAAAAATCCCGTTTTGCACTAATAGCCCATCTAGGCTAACGCTCCTTTGGGCAAATAACTGAATGCATAATGATTTATATATATTTTTATACTTAATACATATGTTTTGTTCAATTTTCTGTATGTAAAATTTCTATGATCATCTGAACTATTATCGTTATTTACGAAATTGAAATGTTCGTTCGTCGGTTTTCTTTGCAATAGAGATAAAAAGAACTCTTTAAAGCTAGTTTCTAAAGTAACTTACGCCACATGATGTCACTGTGACGTCAAAAGCTCTTGTTATGTCTAGAAGAGGTCAGAAAAAGAACCGTTGCGCGGTAGATTTCAACTGAAAAAATATTACGCACATTTTCTGCAATAGATGGCGCAACAATTCCATAGGCTATCAGAACGGTTAAATTCGGTTTGAGTCAAGGTTTCTGGTATCGTTTTCGTGTTTTCCGTTCGTTTCAGAACGCGTTGCGCCATTTAAAGAGTTTGTATATAGATATGTTTGTCATTTTCCGTTACTTAAAAGAAATTAATTCGCAGAAAAACTCGCATACTCTCACAAATCTTTTAAATAAGGCATCTAAAAAAGCTCAGTGCTTCTTCCGAAACCAAAAATACATTTATTTTAAACGTTCTACGAATACTGATATGTGAATTTTTTATACCTTAAGTTTTTTCTAAAATTTCATGATTTGGTTTTTCATAACTTTGCCTTGTTTTACAAAACTATGCAAATATTAGAAACTAAAAATTTTAGCATTTTTTTTTTTTTTTTTGTGTGTGTGTGTGTGTGTTTAATTTATTGCAAGTTCCTAGTTGTTAAATAGAATAAAAGAAATCTTTTTATTAAGAAACTGAAAAAAAATCAAGTATTTATAATTACCTTTCTATTTGTGTTTTTATCTGGTACATTGTTCGAACAGAACAAATACGGACAAGAAAGGGGGTAGTACATGTATTCACTACTTAAAAAAATAAAACGTAGTGATAAATCGTTTCTTACTTCTTGAAATTAACAAAAAAAATTCAAAAAGGAGCAGAATAGGATCTATAAATAAAACGCTCGTAAAAGGAGATTCCCTATTTCAAGCTGCGTTTCCCCGAATCGTTCAGTAGACTCGACCATTCACTCCAGCCAATAGGAGCGCTTACATGAGCACGTGACACTGAAGAGAAGCGTCACGAACGCAGACGACGTGAAGACAGTGGGGAAAGCAGACTGTTGCCAGAGTTCAGCGAAAATTTCTTCGTTTTCCCGTACTCCGCGCTGACTAATCACCTGTTTTTTACGGGACTGATTTTGTTTTGGATTATTTTTTCCTAGTTGCACTGACAATATTTTCATTAGTGATTCATAATATTTGTTTTTTGAACGTGCTACACATTTTTGGATTATGAAATTACAATTACGATGAATTATTCGATATTTACATGTCATCAAATATGCTATGACTCCGTGCTGTGAATTTTTCGATTTCAAATCAGCAGAAATCTACCATATAATCGAATGATGCCTGTACATCAATTTCCAGAGGTAATTTTTGTTATTTCATTTGCTCTAACATTGCTCATTAAAAAAATAAAAGTTTTTCTATACTAGTTTATAGAATGAAAACTAATCTGTAAACGCCAGTGACTGTTTACATTATAATGTTCTCACATTCATGTGCATATTTTCTTCCAACTAATTTTAATATGTATCTTTAAAAATGCTTATATTAATCTATAACAAGTCAATAAAGTTAGCTTGTGTAGCAGTGCAATTGTAATTTTAAGTTTCTGGGAGGGGAAAAACGTTGTGTTTATTGTAATCTAAAATTTTATAATAGTCATTTGTCAGGAGGGCTGGGCCATTATTTCAGTAGAATTAATATTGCGTAAAAATGATTTATTTTATCAAGCAGTTTTATGAATTTTATATTTATAGAATATAAATATTAGAAGTGCGGAAATGTCAAAACTTTATGAATAACCACTAACAGAAATTCTCTGTAGTATATATTAAACAACTGCTTGTCCTATACAAATTAAAAAGACTGAGAATGAAACTTTTAACTCAGAAAGTGCTGCTTAGGTTTGTCTGAAATGGCTGTAAATATATGCAAATTGAGAGGTATTCTGTAACAGTAACTATTAATTTCCTTACGAGCTAAGAATTCTCAGAGTTGTTGTCTATTAATATTACGTAAATAAGCTTTAATTTTTATTATTATTTTTATTTTTTATATATTCCATTGGGTACTTTGTAAATTAAGGCTACAAATCATGCATGAGGATAATGCTAATTTAAAGAAAGGGGAAAAAATTAACAATTTCCTGAATATCAGAATTAAATAATTATATTCCATCAATTAATTATTTTACGTACTTTTGACTGTAGTCGAAGCTATTTAATTATTTTCATACTGTTTACATAGTACACAAAAACATACGATGTAATTATTTTTTATAATTTAAGAATTAATTACTTTTTGTATTTAAATAATTAATGAATTATTCGGTATTGGAAACACATTGAACTATTTTTTGTAACAAATATATGAACAATTAATTATAATTTACTAAAAAACTGCAAGTTTAAATAATTAATTAGTCATATTTAGTGCTATAAAAATCTGGAATTTTAGCATAATTTGACTGGATTATTGTTTTTCTAATTGACTCAAATTCGTATTTCTTATAAGATGGGGTAAATATGAAAATTTTTATCTTAGCTTTCGAATGTGGAACTTGTCTGCTTGCGAACTTCATTCGCCGGTTGCAGCTAAAAGGTGGCGCAAGCTGTATTGGTGGGAACGATTTGCTGGAATGTCGATTCACGTTGCATAGCGACGGTGTTATATTTCAAAATTAAGTTGTAGTTGTTATAACGGTACGCAGCCTTAAAATTCGCTTAAGCAGTTTTCGTTCATGAACGATTTTTAAATGTAAAAGAGAAAAGTATTGAGAGTTGCATTTTTATTCTCGATGTTTATAATATAGTAGTGTAGTTGGATTCGAAGTAGTGGGGCGAATGCAAAAAATATCTATTGATTGTTTGAAAATTTTTTAATAATTTAGGATATATCGCTTTGAATTTAACATTATGCAGTTTTAAAAGGTTTCACCACATATAAAAATTTATAAAGTAATGCTGTGAAGTTTGGTGATGAGTATGTGATGTGTGTATATGACGTATGTATATACGTTAAATTCGTTTTTCATCACCAAGCGTAACTACTAATAAAATTGTACTTTATTTGCTATAATTAATGTGATTTGGGAAAGCCTATGACTTAAATTATACCATAAATTGTTACTTTAAAAATAGCTGTCATTTAGATAATAGTAAGGCTTGTATGGTAATAAAGAATCATGATAGAAATTACCAAGCCCGAAATTGCGTATGATTTATTTTGGGAAGTAATGAATAAATAGTATTAGACATTGTAATGAGGGGAAAAAAGTATTCGTTAAAGATGTGTAAGTATATAAAGTTGTGACAGATAATTCGAAAAATTAAGTTTTTTTATTATTTTATTTTTACATGGAGAGAAAAAAGTGCAAGACATCCTAGCATTCTCCCATTGTTATTTCAGAATTACGCGATTTTATTTTTATTTATTTAGCCCAAAGGAGCATTAACCTAGTTGGGTTATTAGTCTCGAAATGGCATTCAGCGTCGGATGCTTATAAATAGAGTATCACATTTTAAATTTTAGCCACTAAATGTTATAGCCCTGTGTTATATTTAAAGAAATTAAATAATAAAGCATCTGCATTATTGTATGTATTTTTCTCGCACTGCGAAAAAACGACGGTACCTAGAGCCGTCAAATTTTGAATAACGTAATCCTCCACCCAAACATGGGAACCTGAACACCTTAATTTTCAATTTCGAATTTGTTTTATTATCTATTTCATATATTGTAAAACTTTAACGAATTTTTCGTTAACGAATTCAACGATTTCAAAACGAGCAATGGCAGCACTGAACGGAAAAAAACAAATTACGTCCAGCGCGCAAAATTGTCTATCGGAAATTCTAAACGTGGCTGTTTTGCGATATTGCTGTTGACTTGAATGTTATGTGCTTTAAGTGCGAAGCACATGATATTTAATAAATAAAGGTAACACACAAAATGTTTAAAAAAAAAAAAAAAAAACCGCCGCTTTGGACGTTTTTAAAATTTATTTTCCCGATATATTTGATAAGATAACGCTTTTAATACTTAATACAAGTATTATGTTTGAAGTGACAGTATACTTTGATAAGTTAAAAACAGTTACAAAATAATATTAGGTAATAATAATCTGTAGTTCTAAATACTGATTGATGTGAGAAAGAAATAAAAACCGAAGTAAAAGATACTGTAATTATATTATTAATGGATTTAACATTTCGTGTAAAGAGAATGTTTCTGTATAAATTATTTTTATGCATAATTATTGATATATTTGAATATAAATTATCATGACCTGGATTTTATAAATAATTTAAAGTGTCGTAGGTAAAACAACATTTTCAGTTTATTATTTCAAAAGAGCCATTACTCTCGAAACACCCCACGATTTCGCGTTGTTTCACTTTTTATTGGAGTGTGTTGCCATTCGGCAAAACATAAATATTATTCTTTCATACATTATTTGTCTGTTTGTAATCAACAAACTAAACTATATAAAAGAATTAGCTTCAGTTCATAAGAGCATTACTTTTTTGCGTTTTGATAGGATTGATTTCAATAAAAATCCATTAATTCATGATATAGCTAATTAAAAACATTAAATATTTTTGTAGAATTACACTGTATATGTAATTCTGCAAAAATATTTAATGTAATAAAAAGATGTAATATACATTATATTACTCTTTTTATAAAATTACATTTTCCCTTTTTAAATATGCAGAAGATATATAACGTTCCCATATTAATTTAAAATGCGTTTTTATCTAATATTCTATAAAATAGTCCGCTATCATCTGTGCAATAATACAAAAATTTTGATAAAAGTGCATGAGTTGGCTGTCAGTTCAAAGAGGGGAAGTGCTGTTGCCAAATCTACCAGGTGCAAAATGCTTTTGCCCAGCAAAATCTTTCAGTGTTCTTAATATTATTGTACCTTGGATGTAAAATTTATTAGCTAATTATCGTTTGCTTTATGAAAAAGCTTAATATTAATTACAGAAGTTTTTAGGACAATTACAAAATTGTCTGTGTGTTTCTTTCTGTTTTTATGTTAACTAATGAGATCTTGTTTTTACTAAATGGCAAAACTGGATATTAATTTTATTTAAAAGGAGAAACGAAACGTATGTATGATTTGCTGTTAATATGAACATTTTTCAGCAAATTTTGGCTCGCAGAATTCAAAATATATACTACAGTTCCAATTTAATATTTATATATCATGCTTATTTGCGAGTAAATATTGTTTTCAGTGTAAAAAAGGAAACTGTTCAGTTTCAGTTTTTTGATGAAATCGAATATAGTACACTATAAAATAGTTTTTTCATTATTGGTCCATAATCAAATGTTTAACAAGAAAGCTTTCCTCTCATCTGATACCGTTCTGACATTCTCGTGCCAATCCTATCTCCGCTATTCGACGATTTTCATCGATCGTTTGGTACAACTCGTCGTCGTCTCTTCTCCCTTGCCTTCTCCGAAAATCGCCGGATCGTGAAATGTCGTTTACGAGAAATTGAATCTGTTCGAGTAATCCCGAATCCATTGAAGACGATAGTGGTGTAACTAGGAGGCAAGAATCTTATCGCCTGCATGTGTTAATGCTTCTTTTCGATAGTTCGCCTGCGACATTCTGGAACCTGCGGTTTAACGGTCCTGTTAGATCCTTGTATGTGCAGTAACAAATGTGATAGAATATTTATATTGTTTGAATACGATTGTTCTCTACTTTTATTTCTTGTATTTTTCGTTTCGTTTTTTTAAATATAGTATTTATCTCTTTTTAACAATATTTATTCAACTTTTCCGATATTTTTAATATAAATTCCTAATTGTTATTATTTGCTTGAGACCCGTTGTGGCTAGGCTTCGACTGGGAAACGAATCTCAATCTACAGATGAGTACGCACGCAACCTTGTGTTTCTGAAAATATCCTTTCATAGTTTGTACCTGCTGTCTAATTTGCACTTGCTCTCAGTATTGAAGTTTTCTTAAGCGATTATCACACAGAATGTTAGGAACAACCAACTATATAGAACAACTTTTCTACCAATTTTACCTCTGGAAGAAATACGCGTGTATATTCTTCCCGTGTACGAAGAGTTGTAGATGGGGACAGCTCTCAGTATTCAGTCTTTCATCCACATGAGAAATAGCTAAATCAACTTTTTCTGTATATGATAATCCTAGAGAAAAGTTGTGCTAAAACTGACTTCACATTTCATCGTTTCTATGTAGAACGGGCGATAAAGTTGCCGCCACATCTTCCATTTGTTCTTGTTTAATTTATTTGATTATGGTAAATCACGCTAGAGTTATCTGCCTAAAGGGGGATGCATTCGTAGAGGACTTTGTAAGGGAAACTCC